TTGAAATGGTTAACTGAACTCGTTAATCCTCCAAAGGTAGGTTTTAACTTTTGTTGACTAGATGTCATGTTAACCACAGAAATACCCTAACGTAGAAAATTGATGAGAATCAACAGCAATAACAATGTCACTATTATGTGGCCAATAGTACAAACAGTTTGTAAGGACACGCGTTCACAAGAACAACTCATGTTACAATGTTACTCAGACAAAATCTGAATTTTTTTTGTTAATGGTAAAAATCTATGGCATCAAAAATGGCAATCGTCAATTGTGTAGATAAGGTCTGAAAAGAAGCGCGCATTACTGCCTCTATGGAAACAATTATGATGTTTCTGAGAGATTCACACTTCAGGTATGCACAATCATAGCTGCTCTTAAGTTTCTCAATGTCATTTACAAAAATGAGAGAATGATTGTGCCTCGCATGAACTTATCGTTTTGCTCATAATACTGTTTTGTTTGTCTATCACACATGTGAGAGAAGTAATACTGTATGGCCTAGCAGTCGATATGTTCATGTCGGTGTATGCAGTATTGAGATCGTGCATAAAGTATTGCATAATGTAGAACTAACTACACATTAACACAATTTGTCTGACAAAACAACTGTTTTTTGCTGAGGTGTTATATGACCTGATAAACGTCAACACCAATAACTGAGGAACTAACCACACACAGCCACAGGGACATTTGTCTTTGAGATGACAACACCTGGTATAATCACCATTTGATCGTGATTCATAAACACATGCACATGATACAGTCTGAATCCTACAGGGCTTTTGACAGAGATTTCTTATGAATATGGAAATGGTTCTTGTCGCTTTTATATATCATTATGAAATGACAGTATGCATTCGAATTTCACGTACCCACAACTACGTTTAATCGTGGTCCGTTTGAAGCAGGATTTCATGTTCTCCAACTTTTAACACTATCGCGATAATTGCAGCATGTAGATGCAGGTGCTTTCGGAACCTCAAAAAGGCGAAATATCTACATGTGCTTTCTCAAAGGGCATGTGAAACGAAATAAATTTATTATAGAGAGACATTACGTATAAAAAAGGTATTTGAACGTCGAACTTTTGAAACCAACTACTATCTAGAATGTAGGGAGATCTGCCTTTTATTGTGTTTCGTGGCAACAAAGTACGACAGAGGTCGTGCGATTGGGTGACTGCAGGTTGGAATAGCCATTAGAAAAGTTGCAAGACGACTCCAACGGGTAGAGAGGACGGGTGAAGTTCAAGATCGACCACCTTCAGGCAGACCAAGGATAACAACCAAGGGAGATTACTGTTAAATTATCCTGACATCTCTTCGTCTACGTGCACTGACTCTCCAGTTACAGGCACCTACGCATGTGTATGTCTGTTCACAGATCGTCCCCGTACTGTCAGGATCAATTCAGACTACCCCTTCTGTAAGACCATAGAGCTGCTCGCTTTGCGTTGTGCATGGTTTCTAATAGTTCGAGTTGGCAGCAATGGTCACAGGTGTTGTTTACTGACATATTACACATCAGGCGCCAGTTCAACGATTGTTTGATTGGAGTCTTCAGACGTTGAGGGGAATGCTTCAAAGATGTAACCATACGAAAAGGGGACCGATTTGGTGTTGGGTCGGTTATGGTATAGGATGGCTTCAGACTTCATCACTGAACTCCTCTGTAACACGTTTATGGAAATCTAACATTACTGTTCAGACGCGAAATTCTTCGGCCACTTGTCGTTACTGCTTTGAATGTTATTAGACCTGGTGCTAAACTCCAAGATGACTGAGCTCGTGTTGATACACAAAACCAAGGATGCAGTGGCAAGCTTACTTTCCGGATCTGGCACCAATAGAGCATCTTTGGGACGTCCTTGGTTAAAGGTTTCGTGTTAATCATCCACATCCTGTAAATCATCAACAGTTCATTCAGTTTCTCGAAGCAGAGTGGCAAGCCGTCCCTGAGGTAACTCTCTAAGGAGGCTTGTTAGGTCGATGAGAAGACGCTGTACATAATGCATCCTACGTAGTGGAGGCCATACGCATTATTGACATTTTCACTTTGTGAATCAATCCTGTTCATTTCACAACCATTTCAAAACGGTTTCATAAATGAAAAACCTTCATTTAATCTATGATTTGTTCGCACTCATGTTGTTCTTGACTCCCTAAGTCGAAGAAGGTTGATTCTTCATATATCATTTTTAATGATTGTATTTAACACATTACTCAAACTGTAAACATTATTTCGCGAACACCTGGTATCATCACTATTTGATAGTTCATGTTATAGTCGGAATCGGGGAATCGAACCTGCTTTTAGCAATAGTACTGTCGCTTTTAATTACATAATAACTCCAGCATCTAAAATAGATCTAATATTTATTGATAGAATTTGTGTTTTATTGTAACAAATCAGCTTCACTGAGGAAGAAAGTGTAGCTTCATGCGTTTTTTTACTATGCACCAATGTCACATACACATAACTATTATAATATCAAACAGCCAATTCGAACAAGAAATCTATCAGACTGGCAAGAAAGATATACTGTTCACCACTGCACAGATATTGGCGTAAGACTACTAACGTTTAGTCCGCAACGGAAGTGTTTGTTCAAGTATTGCATATTTATATCGACTGTGTGTCATGGCGATTTAGCACGGTGCTAGAAACGAAACGTCAGTGCAGATTTTCTTTCTGTTTATAATGATGATTTACAGTAAATATACACATCTAAGATATGGAAAGATAGCTATGATCGTTAATATTTAGGTGGTATAGTGTATATTTATGGGCAGGAAGATCATGATCCAAACGTAAACATTGAATGGACAAGCCCTGTGACCGAGAGGGCACGTTCGCGTCATAGCAGTGCCGCGATTTCTTGTCTACCAGTTGTCCTACATGTACGTCCGTTTCGACAAATAAGTGCTGCTTTTTTCAGTGTCATGTGTTATTGCTCAAACTACCTGACCATGTGAAGGAATTGCCCTAACCGTTTACATTTTGTCTCAAAAGGAGATTTCAAAAGTGTGGCCACGACATCTAACGTTAGTCGACGCCATATTGTAAACACATTGTGTCAATGTCGGTTTCACATGTGGTAGTTTGGCATCCGTTTCGATAAACGCGACACAAACATAATTTGTGTATGCCAATAGACGGTCGGTTATTTCCCGCCGCTGTGAATTTGTCGTCTGGACAGGTGCGCGTTATTCGACAACGCGTGTTGTGACGTGGATGACGTCACGTCAAACAACTGATCTAATGTTGTGGTCGTATAATGGATACACGTGATTTCAGTTTCCAAATGAATATATTCTCTCTTTGACTGAACTAGAAAGTAGACCAGTACAACACAGATTGGAAGATTTCCACGGCGACCGACGAGTGAATGAGACCCATTTATAAACTTGAGTGAGTGAGTGAGTATGGTTTTACGCCGCTTTTAGCAATATTCCAGCAATATCACGGCGGGGGACACCAGAAATGGGCTTCACACATTGTACCCATGTCGGGAATCGAACCCGGGTCTTCGGCGTGACGAGCCAACGCTTTAACCACTAGGCTACCCGACCGCCCATTTATCACTTGAGGTCTCAGGTCTAAGAGCAAAGTGAATGCATTCTTGTGGTTCTTTTTTCGCAGTTTTAAATTGTATATGTTCCCTCCAAGCTGTAGTTTAGTTTAGGCCAAAAGAAGAAAGGAAAGACATAAAAATGAAAAAACATTTATATTAAAGATTTTGGAAGTTATTTTTTTTAAGTTCAATACTAAGAATATCTTTTTTCCTTTTATGACAAATAATTCCATTACTCACCATTACCTACAATCATGATCTATTTCAAACTTTTCTTTTTGTAGAATGGGATGAAATGAAAAACTGTCCTGGAAATAAACGAGTGTCCTTGAATGTGCATGTACATAACTAGGTGTAAAATACACTTCTAAAGTCGCATTTATAAAACAATATGAAAGAGAATGTTGTATTTCATGGACTGGCAATACAAGTATATTGTGACCAAAGGTCTAAGAGGGGCACCTTAGTGGGAATACAAGCTGAGACGAGGATGTATGTTTTCTTTTGGTCAGAGTGAAACAAATTTGTTCAGAGTTTTGAGCACATGAACTGTATATACATTGCACACTACTTTAATCGAAGTTATTCATATTTTCGTAATTTTCTCTCTCACTCATTCTTGATATTATTTATAATCGTCCCGTAAACACAATAATTTTGCCTTCTTTCACATGTACAAGTTATCGTTTCCTTGTATTACATATAACCTACTCTACGCTTCTTGAGCTTTCAAAGTAGTATGAAAGTATTAAAATTGTCCAATTACATTTCGTTTTAAGGTTTTTATAAGTTAAATTTAAACCATTAACAACGTATCATAACACCCGAAGTATAAATAAGCGGTCTGTGTGATTGCACAACGAAGCAATGCTGGTATGACATACGGCGCCCGAGTTACGAGTGATCGAAAATAGGTTCGTTAAATAGATTTGCTGCCCATGAAAACCTTTCAACGATTTTGATTGAATCTACGTGTACTTACTCTTTGGTGGTAGTACGTTTGTATAATCTTGTTAATTATTATGAAATAATTATGCTGTCCGATATTGAGCGATGTCAATTTGAGTATTGTTAGGGCTGATCTTTCACAATTTTTTGTCCTTTGAAAATGTCAGATGTCTATTACCAGATGTTTTTATCACTAATGAAAGAGCACGGACACTCAAAGTTACATGGACGTAACCGGATTTCTTCAAGATGTACATTTCAAACTGTCATTCGTATTGTAACATAATCTTTGACAGAGTCTGCGTATGAAATAATCACGACCACTTCCGTCGGTTTGGTTCCATAAGAGGTCTTCGATAAGTGGTTCACGAAAGAATCACAATTTCTATTTTTCAATGAAAATATGAATGTCTTGTTTTATGATGTGAATTAATAAAGTCTTATTCCTTTATTGAACAGAAATGTGTGTTTTCAGAGGCCGGCACTGTGAATTATTTCAAAACATTGGCGCTTACATCACGCAGTGTATCAGTGTCTTGGAAGCGGCCAGTGAAGACGAATGGAGACCTCTTCGAATACCGCCTGGAGGTGTCAAACAGAACCTGTAAACAGCTGATTGTTTTCAACTGTACGGAATGCAAAAGAAATGTACGTAGTAAATGAAGTTCTATTTTTCTTTCCCGGTACTAAGGAACAAAATCAATATATCGAAATGAAAACAGTCGGAAATGATGTTCAAATATCCATTGAAATATTTGTAACTATAAGGAAGAAATGCAGATATAAACTTTAACATTGATAATATTTACCTTTACATTTACTTTACATTTCTTAAGACTTCGATGGAGGCGAGTGGAAACTGTGGACACACAACCGTCGTCCATCTATCTGAATCTGACATCAACGATTCCACGCATGTAGTGAATTACACGATCACTGGACTCCTTCCAGACACTACGTACGTTGTTAAGGTAGCAGCTTATAACAAGGATGGAAGAGGGATAGAAAGTAGTCTATCGGAAACAACCGATGAAGAAGGTAAACTCATTTCCTGCCCAATAACAATCCTATCTACTCATGTTACTTTTTAATAAACCCTGATATGTCCGCGTATGAACATGCCATCCTCTCCTAACGTCCTGTACATGTTAGAGCTGTCACGTTTCTCACAACAACGATGGATAACCTTGATGTTGCTACAAATGTTAAGACTTCCTTTCTTGGCTCACATATGAGTAGACACATGTTTTGGTTTTCGCATTTCATACTACAGTAAAGTACGGTTATAACGAACACAAAGGGACTACTAAGTTTAATTCGTTATAACCGTAGTTCGTTATAAGCATATATACAGCATAACTACAGCAAATAGTCGGGACCAAAAAGTAAGTTCGTTATATCCGTCAGTTCGTTATAAGCGTGTTCGTAATAAACCGTAGTTTACTGTACTTAATTTTCACTGTATATTTATCAAATTAAGCATTTGTCATTTGTCCGTCAGGAACATTTTACGTTCACGTTTCTCGTATACTAATTCTATGGAACATTTTAAACCTATATGATTTTTTTGGTGAACTTTTGCAATTGATCACCCTAGCCCTACATCTATAAGTACAGCATTTATTTCCTTCAAGGGACCCATAGCTACTGGTATTTCTTCATTCGGTATTCCAGCTGCCAGTGAACCTACTGCCTTTACAGCGAACAACAAAACCTCCGACACCATAACGTTAACATGGGCACCGCCTGAACCAAGACCTGGACGTACTCACTACAACATCAGAGTCTACGAGAAGATTGAAAACACACCCGACTATAACTATATTGATACCAAAAATATAACCGGTAAGTCTTCAGATGAATATGTTATTATATTCGTATGTTTAAGCATATGTGAAACATTTCATCACTGGTCCTTAGCAAATTCGTATGACTTTTACGTTACGTTGGACCAAAACGGATTAAATGAATGTTATTGTGTATGAAACCTTACGTAACTGACACCTTCCATCCTGGTGATCATTTATATTCACATGCGTTGGTTATTATACTCCACGATATTTTATAATCTGTATATGCATTTAATGATGACAGTTCGACACATTAAAAACTGTTATGCTGTCCGTGCTCATGATAATATATTGTGGCGATCCTTTTCTTTAGGTTATCGCCATAACATGTATTCCGTGAACAATTTATCAAGTGCCTGGGAATACAAGTTCTTCATTCAGGCCTTCACACTAAAAGGGGGATCTGGAAACGTCTCATCTGATGTGGTGATGACTGAAGAGTCGAGTGAGTTGTGGCATACAGACATGTGGCATTTCCAATCATAGAGCTCGATCACGATAATAAAGATTTTATTATCATATAATGAATAGAGTTATCGATGCGATAAGCCAACGACTCGCATTATACAATTTCAATGCGTGATAAGATATTGACGATACAGAAACACACGACAAATAGTCATTGACCGTTTAGGTTGAAAGTTCGAAATAACGTTGACACACTGTACAGGTAGGTTATACTAATAACCATGTATTAACTGAGTATGCAGTTGTATTGTCACTCGACCTCTAATGTTGTCATTAATGGGGATATGTTATGGATACCAGTGGTCTTATATTGTAAAACAATAACAGCATTTTAAGAATATGCATTACAAAGGTTTGCTTATGCCTTGCTAGTTATAGAATAAAACAAAGATGTGTTTAAATGTTGTAGTTCCCTAAATTGGGCTGGTTTAAGAAAGGGTCATACTTTCTTATTGTTCCGTGAAAAATGTGGATCTCCTGTTTTAAGATGTAAATGAACAAGAAGTCTCCTTTTAGTTGATAAAATTCTTTTCATATATGAACACATCGATTACCACAACGCACACAAATAGAGATATGCCATGCTGAAACAACAGCTTCGTTGTGTTCATAACATGGAAATTGAAAGATGACCCTGTGGAATAAGTCAAACGTACTGCACAAATGATTTGAAAATTATGCACATTACAGGTAGCATATCCACACCGAAGACCCGGTAACGATTCCTATGCCATAAATCCGACGAAGTATATTTTAGAAACCCGTCTGTCCTGCAAAGTAACCGTGTATTTACTTCTAGGAGTACAGTTTAAGATGTCTTTTATATATAGTGTTCACATATTATTTAGACTTTAACGGTATGTAACAAATGTTATATTTGGGATAACACTTTCTTAGTAAAGTACAGATTCTAGTCCTTTTTTGGTTTGAGTCCCATCCGGGATTCGAACCCACATTCCCCGAGTGAGGCACCTATACAATCGACAGCACTTAAAGTCAGCGATCTAACCCACTTAGCCACAGAGGATTCCGACAACTTGTAGTCTAGATCATGTACTTTCTGTGTACCCCTCTGACAAGTGTAAATGGCCATGGCTCCCATGGCCAATAGCTATGAATACACAATGCCATTTAGAAAGTGTTCAAACGTAACAAATGTTTTATTTGGGATACTCTTAGTAAAGAACTTTCTTATTCGAAAACGTTTTTGGGTTGAGTCCCATACGTGATTCGAAACCACACGCTCAGTGAGACACCTAATCGCCAGCACAGAAAGTCACTGATCTTACCCACTCGGCCACCGAGGTGTTCATTGGCCGCTCCAAGATACCCCTACATTGCGTGATGCTTTGGTGTCGTTTTGTTGAAACCCTTCACAGTACCGGCCTCTGAAAGCACACATTTCTGTTCAATAAACGAAGAATATTTTATTAAGTTACATCTTAGTTCATATTTTCAAGGGAAATTATAAACAAGTGATTCTTTCTTAAACCAAGCCCATTTCTGGAACTAAAACATAAACACATATTTGTTTCACTTTATTGCGAGCAAAGCATAACGAAACCTTTGTGCATTTTCTTAAAACGGCATCATTGTCTTACAATATTAAGCCACTTAAGCCACATCCTATATCCCTATTAATGTCACTTTTTAGGGCATATAACCCAGTCCAAGAAGAACCTTCTGGCCCTCTTATTGAATACCACAGACACATCATTACACCAAACCGTGGGATGGGACTCCCGTAGTTTAAGTCTAGATTTGGAAAATCACAGTCCATATTTTAAAAGCCCTGCTGCATGTGACTTAATGTATTTTCTTTTGTCGACGATCAACAAATGACGATATGTAACAGATGTCACTTCTAATATGCCACTGAAGATAGTGTTGCCGTAATCTAGCTTTGACAACACTAGTCTAGGAGAAATTCAACTGTGACAACACTAGATATCATATGGGTGTGACAGAAGTTCAGCACTTGACAACAGTGTATTTATTGTATTTTTGTGGAGATATCATGACTAGTACTCGGAACATCTTGAATTCGAACCAATTATCATAGCTATTGTGTTATCTTCATTCAATTTCACCGTGTTATATTACTATTCATCCGGGATCTGATGAGTTTCATGACAAACTTATTATTACCATGGTGCCGAATCTGGGAATTGAATGCCGAGAGAGTTGCAGCTCCTTAGGCTACTCACCCATTCCTGTCCCCTTAGCTAACAGGATTCAATAGAAGGTGTTTTGCTGTGAGATATTTTATATCAGTCGTGATGATTTCAGGAACTATATATGCCTTATACAAGGCTGGCACATAACATTCAAACATTGCAGCAAGTTGACATCAGTAGTCTTTAATTGAGTGCTAAGCCCAAGAGCATCATTCCGTGTCAGGACAAAATATCGTCAATGTAATTCGTCAATCTGTAGAAGATGCATGTCTTAGAGCGTGGCTAGAGATACTTGTGTGATAAGACTTTTACTTAGATTGGCAATTTTGTCATTTTCATTATTTCGGCTGTTATATTAAAAGTAATTTAACTACAATTATAAATCAGCAGGGATCATACTTCACATCCCATACAAGTACTGAACGGCGGTCCTTTTGAATGAGTAAACAGATTGACTGGCACTACGGTAACGCTGGGAGCTGATATCGTTCCCAGAAAGTTAAGACATGTCTCCTGGTGAGACAAGCAGATTGTGTGTTTACGTTCTAAGTAATATGTTCTGTATGCAAGAACGGCTTTGATTCACATTGCTTGCCACTCGACAGACATGCAGATGTGTTGGTTAACATGAAGGCGACCTCGATATTTGAACTTGGTTAAACGGTAATAACACAATGTGTAACATGCGCAAATATGATATTATTTGCACATTGAATAAATGTGAGTGAGTGAGTGAGTGAGTTGGATTTAACGCCGCTTTTAACAGTATTACAGATATATCGCGGCGTGTCAGCTTAATGTGGGAGGTGATGCCCGAAGTGATGCAGGTCTTAGACGTTTACCACATCGGTGAAACCCACGAGCACGGGTATGATGTTGACAAACCTAGAAACATAATCGGGGCGAACCGGGATTCGAACCCATAATCATAGGTTTCTGGTGTGCCCAAGGGACGCAACTACGCGCAGCAAATCGCGGCGCCTTAGACGACTGGACCACCCGTGCCCCCTGAATAAATGTACTGACAACACATCATCTATATGCAGTCACATAAGACTAAATCAGTGATGTTGTAAAGCGTCCGTCGCCTGTTTATGGTATTGACTCTATAAAGTAATTTATGTTTGTGATAACATAACACGCAAAAACCTTAACGTCATAATACATTGGGAGAGGCCCAGTCGTCTAATGCGCCGCAATTCGTTGTGAAACGCCAGAAACCTATAATTGTGGGTTCGAATCCCGGTTCGCTCCTTGTCAGCACCATACCCGTGCTCGTGGGTTTCTCCAAAGTGGTAAACGTCTAAGACCTGCATCACTTCGGGCTTTCCTCCCACCTCAAGCTGACACGCCGTGATATGGCTTGATCATTGTTTAAAGCGGCGTTCAACCCAACTCACTTACTCATAATGCATTGATTATGAATCACTCAAAACAAGACAGTCTGCTGGACCACATGAATTGATTTTAGAACGAATGATTAGTGATTTTTATATTGTGTTACCACACTTGAAGTTATTGCTTAATCATCCGCATACGAAAAGAGGCGTTTCTGCTTATTTTTCTGCTGAGATATTTACAGCCGAACTTCTTTTATCATGTATGTAGTTAATACTTTCATCTACGTACATGTAGATGATACTTACATCTACGTAGAGGACGCTTACATCTACGTAGATGATACTTTAATCTTCTAGATGATACATTCATCTCCGTATGAGATATTATAATCTTACGTATCGTTACTCACACAGTGATATTGTCTTGTGAAGTTGGGACCCTAGAGGGATACTAGTTGATACACACATTTATATTTTAAGTAAAGGTGACTACTTAATAACTGTCAATTTAATTTGGGAGTGTGTTGGTTGTTTATTTCCATTTGTCCTTTTCCGTATTTTTATAGCAAACTGAGATCATTACAACTTGTCAAAATATCAGCCCTAAAATAAAATACAAACTGCAGAATTGTACCTTCAGTGCTTTACAGAATGATGACGAGTATTAATTTTGTTTGATATAGCTTTATAGTTTGAGTGATTCTCACTGCTTCATATTAAAGTTTTTATTCTTAAACCTAATTTCTGCAATGGAGATACCACGAGAGTCAAGATATTCGAGTGTTTACTCCGGATTTGTTGTTGTTGTTATTGTTGATATATAATTTCGCTAAAATTTTGAATAATAACCTACAGTTGTTTGTTTCTTAGTAGTTTGGGAACATGTTGTGCTCTCCTCTCTTTATTAAGGTTGTAGTGTGGCATGTAGCATTCTCCAGCAACTTCGACACATTGAAATGTTTAGATAATACCTCAAAAAGACATGGCAAGGTAGAAAGTTTCGGTCATAATTAACGTAGATGATACTTTCATAGTCGTAGCTGATACCTTTTAGACTGTGACACTCATACGCTTCCATAGTAAACAGTTATATCCTGAAAACTACACATATTATTGTTTGCAAACGACGTTATGATTTCAGAATTTACAGGAGTGTCACAACTTCAGCTAGATGCCCTTTTCAATCGAATCAGGTTTATATGTTAACTTGGCTTAACGTTATGGTATGTAAAAAAACAAAAGACAAAAGTTATGGCATTTAAAAAAAGATTGTAGATTATCAAATTCAGTAGTATGATACTACCAAAACAGAAATTGTACAACATCATAAGTATATTTGGCAGATATCTACTAGAAACTTCAATTGGGAGGAGAATGTGCTTCAACAATGATTAAAGGCTGGTTTTATATTGTAAAGTGAAACAATATAATAACGTAGAAAGTAAGCCAGGAAAATATTCTTCAAAATATTTGACACCAAAATATTTCCAATTTTATCCTATGGTTGTTAACTCTGGAGGTTAAAGTAGTTTGATTGTTTCATTGAGAAAATGCAATTGCTTGGTTGTTAGCAGTACGTACGTTTATCTTATACAACTAATAGTAATCCTGTCTTGATAAGATTTTGATAGATGTTCCATTCTAAACATAATATATATTTCCCAACTTACTAACGTTGTAACTAAGAATGAAATATTTCTGATATTATTTAATGCTTACCTATCAATAAAGCTTCGGGACCTGATAGAATCAGTTTTAAGTTATTTAAGAAAAGGGTTAAATGCATCAATGTACCACTATGTTTATTGTTCAATTCATCATTAGAGCAAAGTGTGTTTCCTGATAAACGGAAAAAAGGCAAGTGTTAGGTGACCATACTACCGTATCGAACTGCAGGCCGATATCTTTTATAAGTTGTGTTGAGAAACTATTTGAAAGAATTGCGTTTAAACACTTGTATTATTACTTTAAAACGAACAACTTGTTGTAAAAGTATCAATCCGGCTTCCAAGTGGGCCACTCCACTGTCGTTCAACTGATTGAACTATACCATCACATATGTACAATAGAGAAAAGGTTTGTATGGTATTTGGCGACGTATCTGAAGCCTTTGACCGCGTGTGGCTTAAATGGCTCGTCAACAAGATGGAAAGGCATGGTATGAAAGGACAATTGTTAAAATGGCTTTTAAAACTTATGGCTAATTGTAATCAGTGTGTGTTTGTGAATGGAGCCAAATCCCAGCCAAGATATTTAAATACACACTGCGATCATAATTATATTTCGAAACTGGTTGGGAACCTTTTTTATGAACGTAGAAGGAAGCGAAAACTATTGCTTTTGTATAAAATATATCACAACTTAGATCCATCTTACATAAAAGATATTTTACCAAATTCGGTATCTTCGAAAAAAAATACATATACCCTTAGAAATTTGAAAAATATCACAATTCCCCTAACAAGACTAAAACCTTGACATGATTCTTTTTTCTTATCTACCAACAATCTGTGATATGATCAAATATTAGAAACTATTACTCGGTAAATGTAATAATTATATTTCTTCTTTTACACTTAAGAACTATTATTGATCATAAACTGAAATGAGCAATCGCATCTGAATGATTTTGTACACATGCTTATTTTTTTTGTATGGATGAAAATTGCTGTCCACCTGTTGTTGTCACGTGCGCAATTGACAAAGCTTTTGGTCGAGTCCAAATCTGAATGGGGGAGGGAGGAGATAAAGCAGCCAGTATTTTGTTCTGTTTCATATTTTCTCAATTTATTTTGACATATTTGATCCCTATTTGTCAGTTTTACTTTACCTCTCAGTTTGACCTTCCCCCGGTTTTCTTTCTTTTATCCTTTACATATTCTGTTTATTTGACAGCAATCTCTTCTGTTTGCAGTTTCATCGTTCGATCAGACGATCCTCTCAGTTCGCCCAGGGGGCGGGTCAGTGGGAACAAACGTCATTCCACTTGAAATATGTGCTGAATGTCTGCACAACGCCGTGAATGGCAATATAGTCAAGTCTGGGCTACTTGTGTGTAAAGTTGGAGACTGCCAAATACGTAAGATGGATGCTTATGTTTCAGATATTCAGTGAATTGTTGTCAGTCCGGGCCCCTTTTATGCTGAAAGCTTGATATAACGGTCTTTTGTTAAAACGTCGATATGTGTTCAGTGGACACAGTCAGTAACCCGTACTAGTGATTCGTTCATCTGGAAAATTGACGGTAAACATGGACTCACTGTACAGAAATCAAACATCAAAGATTTAAACTTTTTTTATGTTTATCCAGATTGATTTCGAAGTTAAGTTTTGACCTAAATGGTTTGCAACGGTGTCTGTTTCAATGAATAGATGTTAGTCTTCCCCGCGATCCGTCTGAGGCACACCCTATCAGGAATGTTTCAGTGAAAAGATATGTTACAATGCAGAGCGGCGTTATCATTTAATGAGACTGTGAAACGAAAATCGCGCGCAAGTGTCTATTGAAAACACAATACGTTTATTGGTTTAAATGCCTGGACCGAGGCAACCGAATTCTCTTTCGTCGACACATTATCTAGCATCATGTTATTGCGACTTAGTTTGTAGCTCTCTTGTATCCCATGTGCACTCTCTTGTAATAATCCTATTTGGAGGCATGCACAAACATAGCCGCATCTATTCTCAGGGTATTTATTTTTTGTTAATTTGGCCTTTATCATACCACGTACTTTGTCATTTTTATGCTTAAGAAGTGATGCACTGACGTTTAAGATAGATATAACCCATTTAACAATATATCGAGGATATTTAGTTATTCTTGTCACATAAAGTACATGTTGATCTCAACGGCGACCTGACACAATTGATATTATTTTGATTGAGGCTGATACGATTGGAGATGGCACCTTTTTCAGGAAACGAGATGATTTAATACTACATGTTCTATTTATTGTGCATTTTCTCACTGATCCTTCATATCTTTGTATGAACATCATAGTGTCACTCAGGCATTTTGAAAGTATTTCCGGTAAAAAGTGTTATATTTTGAAATAAATATAGTAACTTATCTCTCGATACATTATAAAAAGGGTTGTGGGCTCTTCCTTACATATTAGACACCGTGATATATTCTTTACATAGTGATAATGTTTAGTCAATACTGTCAGGTCCGACCAAATTGTTGCAAGGAATATGATGATCATGCAAAACATGGTAATGTCTCTATATGTGAATGAAAAGACAAAAGATACACCATTATTATTATGTTCATTGACACTATGAAAAAGTAGTCCAATTTCCGTGCAATTACAATCGCTCCAAAATAGCGTTAATCAAACTCTTTGATGAGCTGGAAATTGGATTTTGCTTTAACTTGGTTGTCAAGCTAAGTAAGGACACACAGTGAGACGAAATGGGGTTTAAAGTCACCTTAAAGATTGTTTCACTTATATAGCGACGTTGTACATGCACGCGCGTGCGTGCGTGCGTGCGTGCATGTGTTTGCGACAGATACATTATACCGACTCCCAGCCGACCTGTCCCTGTTGAAGATGGAAATAAGAACTTTGCTGTAACTAATAGCTTCTGTAACGATGCGGCTGTCAAATCAGTTGTTTCAGTCAGTGGCGGTTATTCTGATTTCATGCTTATAATGGACCAATTTAGAATCCATATTTAAGGTAGAGTTCGGTTGTGATATTTAATATAAGAGGACCTGTCCGTAATACAAACTTCTCACCAAGTATCTGTCGACAGTAAAATGTATTACCACGTTTCTATGGTCCCATGTTCAAGTTAACAAGGTGACATGTTCAGTCATCTAGTTCTCTTATAAAACAGGAAACAAGATACACGACGCCCGTGGTGATTCTTATGATCGATTACCCAACTGGCACAGTGCAAGAGGAAGTGGTTTCACGTCTTTGTATCGTGCAACTGCTGATGACTGGATGAGCGGCAAGGAACGTGAGTTCTTTCTTTACATTTTTAGGAATAACAATCGAGACATCAATTGAAACAGAAAAAATGTCAAAACTAATCATTCGCAGGTGACGACATAGTCCTATATACAGTTGGAGGTGAAACGTGTGAAATTGCGGACCAGACAAGATTTTGCAATGGACCCTTACTTACTGAAAACTCATACAGGCAAGTAGTCTACCAATCACAATGCTACAATATATCAAATCATTCTAAAACTTTGCTACCCAGTCATCTCAGATACAACGTCAAGTTACTCCAAAGTTGCAAAGTTGACTACAGATAGGAGCAATGATGCACTGGGTGTAGATACATTGTAATTTGGTTGAAATGCATTTATGCAAATCTAATGATGTTCTATAATATGTGGATGACAGGGAGTCAATTCGACACAAAATATATATAAGGATTCAGAGTGACAAACCACTCCCCACAAGACTGTATGACAAGAGGGATGAATTCAACTTTCGAATAGTCAATTTTTCCAATACTCAATTTTACCTTCATGTCGAGCAATATTCCAGCAGCTCAAGCCTTTTCTGTTTACATTTCAAAACTTTTGAAATACAATCGATCATGGGTTTTTTAACCAAGATTTCGAAGAATGTGATACGACTCTTGCTCAGAAGTTGTTTGATCACGGTTCAACATTCAGGCCTCAGTAAAGCTTTCAAAAACAATTATGGGAGACATGTGGAGGACATTTCCCAATTTGACGCAGCAGTGACAAAAATGATGTCCGATGCAATTATCTGTTTTGACCATATATTCCCGTGTTTTTTAGGTGAACAATTGACTTGCCTTTGCGTGTGTTTGTGACGAGTGCCACCGGTGTGGCAAGATACGCTCACCTTTTCGCGAACACCTGGTATCAATACTATTTGATAGCGATTCATAAACACATGCTCATGATATAGTCGGAATCGTACAATCGACTGGAATAGATTTTCAATTGGATATTGGAAGGGTTTTGTCGCTGTATATCATTATATATTGTTTTTGTCGAATTGGGTTTTGACTCGAATAGTCTTTCTTTTTAGGGTATGGGTATTTGCTTGTACTAATGTTGGCTGTATGGAGACTCTATTCGTTGAAGTAGCTGTGACTGAGGGTAAGCCGTTTTCATAATACAAACACCACAAACAATAAATGCACTGCAAAAAAGAAACGCAAATGTACTTTTAGTTGTTTGTGTCATATATCATATAAATAATCATCAGATGGTAATCGATTGTTCACAATTGGCACACATCACTGTCATTTAGCCAGGTTCCAAACGGCACACATGGAACAGTAGATTTTGAAGGCGTGGGTCGCCTGTTCTCAATGTCTTGTATGACCACCATTAGAGTCTAAAACTGACTGGCATCGTCGTCACATGGAAGCGATCAGATCCTGAACTGTGGCCTGAGGAATGTTCACCCATTCTGCCTGCAGTGCTTGTGCCAACTGTGAGGGGTTCTCTGCTTGCTGACGTGCTCGCAGTTATTGATCCAGTGCATCTCATAAATGTTCGATTTGGTTCAAATCCGGAGACCTTGATGTTGTGATTCCTGAAAAAGGCTGTTGTCTGTCTTGCCGTGTGAAGTCGGGCGTTGTCTTGTTGGAAAAAGACGTTCGCTTGTTGCATAATGGGAAGGATGAGTGGCCGAAAAATCTCATCCGTGTAACGTTGTGCCGTCACATTCCCCAGAGCTTGCACAAAGTCTATTCTAGCAGTGTCGAAGGTGGCTGCCCACATCATCCCACTACCACCACCAAACCTGTTCAGTTCCTGAATGCAGTTTCGTGCAATAACGTTCCCCGCATCATCCGTAAACACGACGTCTACCATCAGGGTGTCATCCCTAATTTTCAGATAGTTTTCACCGCTATTTTGCCATTTTCGTCCAATGGAATCTGTTTCGTTGGGTGGCGGTCATGTAGCCTTGTGGTTAAAGCGTTCGCTCGTCACGCCGAAGACCCGGGTTCGATTCCCGACATAGGCACAATGAATGAAGCCCATTTTATGGTGTCCCCCGTCGTGATATTCCTGGAATATTCCTAAGAGCGGCGTAAAACCATACTCACTCACTCACTGTTTCGTTGGATAATCGAGACTGGTTCTCTGGCGTTGACGTAATATGATTAGTCCTTCCACATCAGCATGTCTTAACACTTCGTTTTGGTTTTACAGCATATGACGTTGGAGCTGTCGTTGGTGGTGTCGTTGGCGTGATAGTGTTCGCAGTGATAGTTTTTGTCGCCGTTGTTGTATACGTGTGAGTATTCAAATTTTGAAATACTGTCATCCTCCCAAATCAGTGTTGTGTATGTCTGCAGGTATGATCTTGACAACAGTTAACTGAATGCACACGCAGCTGACATGACCTAATTAACTACTGGTTACCCCTTAATCATGTATGCTGCTACGTCTGTAAAATATGTATCATTGCTTCGTCTGATATTGTGACAGGATACTGTTGAATCTAATTGATATTACATGATAGATCCTCGGAATTGTATAAAGAACCTTCATTTGAGAGGTAGAACACTATGACCATGACGTAAAAGCTGATAATAGATTAGTTAAATGATAGTGTATGTTTCAGGAGAGTACGTATGATTCATGGAAACGATTTTGTAGCATTTAGTTATGTATCAGGCTTCAGATAAACCTGCGAATTGTAAAGAATACTGCTGGTAAAAACGACACCGATAAATATTCAAGTATCGTTCAAAAAGTATAGGTCCTGAGCACCTAATGATTGTTGTTCATATGCATGTACATATGTGCCTGTGACTTGGCTGAGTGTGTCATCGTGCTCCGATGGTATAGGTCGTTGCTCATCACTGGTTTGTTTGCCCGCCGCAAACATTCACATACTCAATAAAAATGTCTTTGCTTTTTCCAGGCCAAATTCGCTCACAATCTGACTGTATACATTCCTCATGATTATAATACATCTACATGTATGAATTGATAACTGATTATGATTACTATATCACCTTCGATATTGTGTACTTATAACAAAATTGTAATAGTTTATTTTATTACTTTCTGATATGAATGGGGTTTTCTCAAGCGCCACTTAATACATGAATATTTGGTTATATATTTCAGGAAAGTAAAGAGAAAATCCAGATCAAAGAAGAATCAAGATAGCATAAATCTTGGGCCTACCCAAAAGTTCGATGACACATATGATGAGGTCGGTGACGGTCAGAGGATGCATGCCATTACGGAGAGCAGCAGCAATGATGGTGGCTATGTTAACCAGGCGTCTGGACTTTCACTTGACGGCTTTGACAGTACATACGAACAGCTTGCCACGTATCAGAATGCTGAAATTCATGACTACGGACAAATCAATGTTAAAACCAGAAATAAGGGTGCAAAAAACAAACGCTAATTGACGTCTCACATGTTTGGCAAGGATACAGACTTCATTATCACAACTCAGTTGGATACAATATAATGCGCTTCGAATTCCTTAAAGACTAAAAAAGGATTTTCTGTAAATTAAACCGACCGTCAGTAGACATAACACACTTAACACTTCATCCACATTCCATCTAGCTCATTTGTCGAGCCCTTTCACATTACTAGAGTTAATGGGGAGCTCTTGTAGCCCACTATGGCTTTACATTAAGTGGGTTTTGCTGCACAATTCAGAGTGTCTGTCCATTTAACACCTCCCACCCCCACCCCCACCCCAACCCCCACCACACACACACACACACACACACACACACACACACACACACACATACTTTACCGTATACATCGCCTGTAACCGGGACAGTTTGATCACTACACATGAAGGAAATACAGAAAGCACAACTGATACTAAAAACATGGTAGTCATGACTTGATAGCAGGATGGTGGTGGGGGATTGAATGTTTACTTGTCGATGTCACACCATTGGCAAGAAGAGATAAATTCGCGGTCTGAAATCGTAGGAAAACTGAATGTGTTGCCTTATTTCTTGGTTTTGACGTGTTATGTCGTGATTGGCACCAATTGTGATCCCCTTCTTGCAGAAATGTTTCTTTATGCTTAGAATCAGAATTTCGAATGATCAACTTTCCTTTTATGTCGAGCAATATCCCTGCAATAGCCCATGGTATCTACATTTCACAGCTTTTGAGGTCTTTCTACCAATATTTCAAAGAGCGCCATTCTATTCTTGCTCAGAAGTACTTTGATCAAGGTTACAACATGCAAGGCCTCAGTGAAGCTTTCAAAAGTTTTATGGAGGACATTTCCAAATATGACGCATCAGTGACAAGATGAAATTCCATATTTTGACTTTTATTACCATATTTCAGGTGAACAAATAACTTGCCTTTGCATTACACATAACACATCAAACGTTGTTAGCCGTTTTTGGATATCTTTTTTAGTTGCAGCTATAGTAGATTTTAATTCTGATCTTTATTTTTTTCTCATAAATGTTTCTTTCAAAATCATATCTTGCATGAAGTTTCCTTTGAGCGTACGTGCGTTTTTCGTATGCGGATGTGCGTGCGTGCCTGCGTTTGTACGTGCATGCAGTTTTGTTTGCATACGTGCGTTTTTATGTGTTTATGTATGCGTTCATGCGTTTGTATGTGCATACATTTAAGCGTGCATTTGTGCGTGCTTTCATTTTTATTTGCGTATGTTTGTACGTGCGGGTTTTTTGGTGCGTGTGTACATTAATGTGTGCATTCATGAGTGCGTTTCTACGTGCGTTTGTGCATGCATGTGTACATTTGTGCGTGCGTACATGCGTGTGTTGGTATGTGCTTTTGAGCGTGCATTTGTGCGAGTGTGCGTGTTGCTAAGCCACTTTGCTTGTTTTCTGAAACAACAAATGACAGCTCATCCAAATTGAATTGAACGTAATTTATGTCAAACGTTTTTGTTCGTGCCTACGTTGGTGTGTGCGTTTGTGTGTACATGCATTTGCATGTATACGTGTACGTTTTTTATTATTTTATTGTTTTATTCTTATGAATTGTGTTCGTTATATCATGTCTGTTTTACAAACTGTTTAGCACTATGAGCATCCACTTGTGAATGACGCAATTCAAATGTACTTATTACTTTTATTATTTACATATTAAAATTAAAAAAATGCAGCAAAGAGGGTTTGGGTGATCCTGGCAGGGTCATACTGGTTAGGCTCATCATCAGCTCAGGGCCCTTGCCCCCTCTGCACGCATCCCAGACAGCGAATGGGACTTCTCCCAGGAAGCGCTGCCTAGTCGAACCCTCCCAGAACCCTTCCGGAGAATGTGAAGACTCCCCAACATTGCAGCCTTCTGCATTACCCAGATTGTCAGAAGGACTGTATTCCTGCCAGCAAACATGGGTACTCTCCCAATGTGAGTCAACAGATTTGGAGGTACCAAACCTAAGGCAACAATGGGGAGTCAGACAAATTGGTACTTGGAATGCAAGCGTGCCATTTCGAAAGCGAGGTCTGCGAATTTGCCATGTTTTCCTGAATTTTGTCAATCACATTTGAGTCACAAGGGGCAGAAAATTCAATAATATAAATGATGTCATTGAATTTAACAAAAAGGACAAGATTTAGCTTTAATTTGTTGGTCTAGATAGGTCTGAGATTGATTACGGGTCTATTTCAAAGAATGTTGTATTTATCATTGTCCATGTCGCCCTCCACATATTCTGGGTCGTACAATAGATGGACCTCTGTGTCAAAACCACAAGCATGGTAATACAATTGTCGAACCACTGTTTAAGATACTGTGTTTGTGCAAAAGATGGGTATCCACTCACAATGTGTTGGACAGTCTCATAAATTTCACTGCATAATCTACATTTCTTATTTACATTTTGATGCAAATTCACGTATTGACGGTTTCGAGTGGGAAGTGACTGGTCCTGAGTAGCAAAGAGAAAGCCTTCTGTTTCACTTTTCAGGCCAGACAACTTCATCCAAGCGAAGGACTCTGCAGGGCTGCTGATCTTCTCAACACTCTGCCAATAAACACGATGCAATGGTCGTTCAGATAGCCTCTCCTTTAAAAACTGAGTCTGGGCCAATTTGATATTGCACTTCGCTTGACTGACACTCATTTCTGTACCGTCGAGCAGTACAGAACGGTCAACAAAATCAACATTGTCACTGACATCATGTCCCACATACATGGCTCGTTTAAGGAAACTGTCGAATGCCTTGTTTTGACATGCTTCACAAGAGGATCATCAGACAAATAAAAGTGTGCAAAAGTGCACAATACAATTCTATCATGAAGAGCCTCCACATTAATCAAACCACGCCTTCACATTATAATTGGTAAAAGTAAGTTATTTAGGGAAGAGTGAGGAAGAGAAGTGTTTCGTCTAATCAACAGCACAAAAAGAATGCGAAAGGACGGGTACAGCATAAGTATTTGTGGCTTTGACTTAATTGCGATCGTTCAGCTTTGAACTTTTCTTAAGTCTACATTTGTACACTGCCCGAAGTTGTTCCTTGATATGAGCATTCTAGAGTTTGTCCCTAACCTGCATTCCCCAAGTACGTATAGGCCTGACCTTCCACGAGATGGTCAATAACTCCTCCCTCAAGTAAACTGACTGATCCTCCCTCTTTTGCCTTGTCACGTTTCAGATGAAGAATTTTGCATTTGTCAAGTACAAAGGAAATGCCGATATAATTAGAAAAGGACCTGACAAGGAGAATCCTCCATTGGCAATAAGTTCAAAATCAACCATGTAAAGGAGTTGAGTAAGGGATGTTGGGTATGTGTGTTGAGGAGGTCCAGGATTATAACCTTCCTTTTTACTTAGCAAAATGCTTGAAGGATTGACTGACAAACAGAAAAGCAATGTACTAAATGAATCGCCCTGAAATATTCCTCTTCTAATTGAAATGGTCACTCATCTCAAGTTGAGTTGATCAGCAATTCATTAAAGGCTTGAGTAAAACAAGTAGTCGCTCGGGAAAGTCAATACATTCCAGTGACTTCAAAATCCATTCGTGAGGTAGAGAATCATAAGCTTTTCTGTAGTCTTTCCAACATATTGAGAGGTTACGGTGGTAAGTTTTAGCCTCTTCAAGATCATTTTCTGAACTAGTTGAATTGATCCTTACAACACCAGCATCCCTTTCTGTCTCCTTTCTGCTCCATGTACATAATGTCAATGGAAGCGCAGTATGATGACACAAGATCTGAGAGACACCCGGTGAATATTTCGTACTGTGTAAATAATAGGGCGGACGTTTTTAGGGTCAGTCAAATCACCTTTCTTTGAGAGAAGTATTGTTCGACTTTTGCACAACCACGGCGGAACAACCCCTGTTTTGACAAGAGAATTAAACTGTGAAGTAATGGTATTTGAACACAGGGGGGGGGGTTGAGTTTCCAAAACCGGTTTCGAATACCATCAGGCCATGGCTCCGTATTAGATTTGGAGTTATCTTTAATTACCTTTTGCAGGCAATCAGGTGTAATTGAACGTAACAATGGTGACTATTGTATTTTGTCATGTACATTATTATTGTACTCATTTTGTACAAATTCATTATATCTTTGTTGAAAATTGATATTCCTACATGTAAGTTAGGGAAATTCCAGCTCCGGTTATTTCAGTTTCTATGAATGTATATAGCAACTGTCAATTCCGAACAGTGTTTATTAATAAATACAACCTACAAACGTCAAAGGTCAAATTAAGTTGGGTAAACTATGAACTTTGATATTTATTTCAGTGATTTTACCCTTTCTGTCCACTTTTGATATTTATGTGAAACGAAATACATGTCGGATACTCAGCCTGACTAATGTTAATCTGTGTATCCTGAATCACCGGAAGAAAATACAGAATGGACGGTTCCAGCATTCCTTGTCGATATATGAAACTTCTCACAGGCCCAAGTAGGCGACATATATTTTAAGGTGGTACATCGACTTATATCGGAGTATCAGAAGAAACACCATTCTACTTCACACCGTAGCATTCTTGCAACATTCATGTATATGCCGGTTCGGCAGGCTGCGTATGAAGCCAGGTAACTACTAAGAGAAACTGGGACTTGTATTCAAACTGATCTGCCAGCAATGCTAAAGAAGAGACGTTCAATTCTGAGTGGAGAAGCTGCAACGATTAGATTGGTTTCAGCCGAAGTAATCCTGGAGATCAAAGACGCCAAGAAACCGGGATCCCCCAAGCGCAATGTTGACCAGAAGGCAGTACAAGTGTTACATTAATGAATTGTCAACAGAGTATGAACCTTTTGTTTTCATGTAACTTACTTTGCATGTGTTTGTGACGGGTACCACCGTTTACAGGATACGCTTACCCTTTCGTGAACACATGGTGTAATCACAATTTGATAGTGATTCATAAATACCTGCTCATGATATAGTCGGAATCGTACAATCTAATTTTCATTTATGAAAATGGAAAGTGTTTTGTCGCTTTTATTGACTGCTGATAATGCTTTCCCCCTGAAAATGAATAATACAGAATGTGTGATTATTGTCTTCACTGCTTATAAGAACTGTATAATTTGTACTGTATGTGAACTCAATTATTTCCCACAGTCAACATTTTGACAGATAATTACATGTTCACTTAACTTCTTATTTTATATTTCTACCATCAAGTCGGAACTTTCAATATGTTGAGTTGAACAACGGTCG